TATATATATATATATATATATATATATGTCACTCTTGAACATTATATTTACAAAACCTATATACATATGTATCATTCTCATATCATATTCACAGACCCTATGTACATACATTGCCTTGCAAAAGTATTCACCCCCTACCAGTAACGAATTTATTTTTATTCAAAACTCTAATGATCAAACTTAACACTGTTATGTGTAAAGGTTTGTTTGTTTGTTTTTAATTATGCACAAAGCTACACAAGGGCTATCTGTGCTCTGCCCACCACCAGTTTCTAGCGTTGTAAGTCCGCAGACATACCGCTGTGCCACTGGAGGGCATGTGTGAAGGAGGTTGAATGTAAAAAAAAAACCTGCAAAGAAAATATATAAATTGAAATTTGCTGATTGCATAAGTATTCAGACCCCTAAATCAGTATTTGGTGGAAGCACCTTTGGCATCAATTACTGCTGTGAATCTTTTTGGATACGTCTATACCAGCTTTGAACAATGGGATGGTATAATTTCTGCCCATTCTTCCTGGAAAAATTGCTCCAATTCTAATCAATTATTTGGGTATCGTTAATGGACTGTAATATTCAAGTTTCGCCATAAATTTTCCATTGGATTCAAGTCAGGACTTTGACTGGGCCACTCCAGGACATTCACTTTTTTCTTTTGAAACCACTCCAACCCTGCTGAATTGTGAATTTTCGACTCAGTTTTAGATTTTTGGCTGACTCAAGCAGATTTCCCTATAGGAATCGCCTGTACTTTGCACCATCCATTTTCCCTCAAGTCTAACAAGCTTTCCAGTTTCTGCTGATGAGAATCATTTCCATAACATGCCATAAGCTGCCACCACAATGCTTGATAATTGGGATGGTATTGACTGGTGATGTGGTGTGTTGGGCTTGCGCCAGAAGTAATACTTTGAATTTAGACCAAAAAGCTCAATTTCAATCTCGTTTGACCACAAAACCTTGTACCACATGTCAGCAGTATCATATAAATACTTTATTGCAAACTCCATATGAGATTTAAGATGATTATTTCTCAGTAATGGCTTCTTTCTTGCCACCCACCCATACAGGCCAGCTTTGTGTAGGGACCAGGATATTGTCAGTGTATGAACACTGACTCCAATGTTAGACATGGAATTTTGTAAATCTTTCAAAGTCGCCGTTGGATTCACAGTGGCATCCCTAACCAGTTTCCTGCTTGCCAAGCTGCTTAGTTTGGAAGGGCGGCCTGATCTGGGTAGTGACTGAATGGTATTAAGTACATTCCATTTCTTAATGTTGGACTTCACTGTACTCAAAAGTATAATCAGCAACTTTGAAGTTTTCTTGTAACCTTCCCCTGATCTGTGCTTATCTACAACTGTATCCCTGCCTTGTTTGGAAAGCTCCTTGATCTTCATGGTTGGTTTGTCGTATCACTATGCGAGTTGTGATTTGAATAGATGCATTAACTCTGAAATCAAGTTAAACTACTTTGATTACACACAGACAGAGACCAATACACTAATTTTGTGGCCTTTCAAACTAATCTTTTGTACCTGAATTGATTTAGGGTTACTGTAGCAACGGGGTTGAATACCTATGCAATTGAGAATATTCTACTTTTCTTTGAAAATCTAACTTAATTACATAATATCAGCGTTTTTAGCTTTCTCAGTTTGGAGTAGATCGTGTACATTCTAAATATAAAGTCCCATTTGAAAGTTTCATGATTGAAAGCTCAGATGGAAAGAAAATGTGGAAATTTTGCTGGAGTGAATACTTTTGCAATGTACTGTACATCTCCTTTCAGCCGTGGGGGCGTTATAATGTGACGGTCAATCCCACTATTCGTTGGTAAAAGAGTAGCCCAAGAGTTGGCGGTGGGTGGTGATGACTAGCTGCCTTCCCTCTAGTCTTACACTGCTAAATTAGGGACGGCTAGCGCAGATAGCCCTCGTGTAGCTTTGCGCGAAATTCAAAAAACAAACAAACAAACTGTACATCTCATTCTCAAACATCATATTCACAGACCCTAGATACATATATGTCATTCTCAAACATTAATTTACAGAGCCTGTATGAATATATGGCATTCTGAAACATTATATTTACAGAGCTTGTATATCGTAACTGACAGTTGAAACGTGGTGTCTAACACAGCTGAGGGCATCACTGTAATTAATGTAATGGTGTCTATCTGAACTGATAAAATCATTGTGTTTACGGTAATGGTATCTATCTGAACTGATAAAATCACTGTGTTTACGGTAATGGTATCTATCTGAACTGATAAAATCATTGTGTTTACGGTAATGGTATCTATCGGAACTGATAAAATCACTGTGTTTACGGTAATGGTATCTATCTGAGCTGATAAAATCACTGTGTTTACTGTAATGGAATCTTTCTGAACTGATAAAATCACTGTGTTTACTGTAATGGTATCTTTCTGAACTGATAAAATCACTGTGTTTACTGTAATGGTATCTATCTGAACTGATAAAATCACTGTGTTTACTGTAATGGTATCTATCTGAACTGATAAAATCACCATGTTTAATGTAATAATATGCATCTGAACTGAAAACATCACTTTCTTTAAAATAGTGGTGCCTATCAGAACTGATAAATCACTGTGTTTAATGTATCTTTATCTATCAAAACTGTTGTTGTTGTGTTTTGAAGTTAAGCACAAAGCTACACAATGGGCTATCTGTGATTTGCCCACCACGGGTATCGAAACCCGGTTTCTAGCGTTGTAAGCCCGCAGACATATCGCTGTGCCACTGGGGGCCTATCAAAACTGACTGTATCATCGTATTTGGAGTAATAGTGTCTAACATAGGTAAGATCTTAACCATATTTCATGTATTGGCGTCTATCACAACTAATAAAATCATCAAGTTTGATGTATTGGTATCTATCGGAAATGATAAAATCACTGTGTTTAACTTCATGTTATCAATCAGAACAGATAACATCATTGTCCTTAAGATATTTAACGGAACTCATAACGTTATTGTGATTTAAGTAATGGTTGATAAAGGAATGTATAGTTTCACTATGCTTGAATTAATGCTGTTTAACAGAACTGATAACATCACCGTTCTTAATATAAAGCTGTTTAATGAAATTGGTAACATTAACATGTTAGCAATAATTGTATTTAACAGAACTGATAACATCACCATTCTTAATATAAA